GGCCTGACACCCCTCTTCCTACAGCCAGACCATCAAGCAGGTCCAGGAGGAAGGTGGCCGGGTTGGGGGGGGGTGGGAAGCAGCAGGCACTAGGATCCCCTGATCCAGGCAGCTAATCACCCCCCCGCCGACTATAGGGTCTTCCTTGGAGTTTAGGGAGCAAGCTTAGGTCTCCCAGCATATGCTGGGCTCCTAGGGGGTGATGTGGGGTCCCTAAACTAAACACAAAGCCCCTTCCCTCCCATCCTTTATTGTGACCACTTCCTGGGCATCTGCTGGTTCAGGCACCGTGCTGGTCACTGCATAGATTTACTGTGCCCATTTTACAGATGAAGAAACTGAGGCTCAGAGAAGCCAAGTGACCGGCCTAAGGTCCTAGAATCTCAAAGTCATGAGTCTGAGCTTTGAACCCACACTCACCTTGGCATTTGTCCCAGTTCTGCCTCTTACTGGGTTTGTTCTTCTGGTCACTTTGTCTTTCTGAGCCTTGCTTTCCCTTCTGTAAAATGGGGGTGAGAATGAGAGATTTCCGTAAGTTGTTCGAGGATTACTTGTGATGGTATCCATAAAGCACCTTGCTGCAGAGCTTAGTAAGTCCTCAGCAAGTGGCTTCTGTGGGTATGGTGATATTCTCGGCTCTCTGTACCTGGAGGGGCTATATTTTCCTCATCTTTGCATCTGTGGAGCCTAGCAGTGTGCCTGGCACACAAGAAGCATTACAAAGGATACAAACGAAAAACTAGCTATTGTCCTGACCATTATTTTTATGTTTTGGCTGACTAAGGGAAACTACTCTGGCCTGAACCTAACATTTGCAGGGCCTGGGGCAAGGGTACAAAACAGAGGCCCACACACCAAATGTCGAGATATTTAAATGTCATAAACCATGCTAATAACTCATTAAGTAAAACATGTCCTATCCTCCTACCTGCACAAAAATACCTTCATCGTGTCCTGAGAGGCCAAGTTCCAAATTAGAATTCTCTAATTCCTCAAGGTAATGAACTGGCCCCACCTGCAGCCGCCCCACCTCCAGCTCTGTCCATACCCCACAAATAGGCACCCCATAGTCACTCCCCAGACCTACAAGGGGGTACCTTCTGTGGAGTCCATCTTCAGGAACACAGACCTGGGAAGAGAAGCTGTGCACATTCTGCTAGATTCACTCAGTTGGATGAAGGTAATGGTCTAGGAGTGCTCAAGAAGTCCTAGATCCACTACCAGCCAGCCCAGCAACTTTGGACGAGCCCTGACCCTCAGCTGCCTCATCTGTAAAATGGGCCAGCAGCTCTGCCCGCAGCCCAGGGCTGATGGGAGGGTCCACATGAAAACAGAGATGTGCGTTTGCCTGCGGTCCCCCCAGCCTGAGGAGGGGGGTTGGCATGGCAGGCCAGCCACTCACTTGGGCTGGGGGATGAAGATGCAGAGGCGTGGGACTTGGGCAGCCCTCCAGGAAGTCAGGCCTCCGAGGATCCCGGGAGGAGGGGCTGCTGAGCCAGCAGAGTTGCCGAGCTTGGCTGGAGTAGGGCTGGCGGCTGCTTCACTGCAGCCCAGGCTGGCCCCCTTCCCAGTTGCATGGCTGTCTCCGCTGGGGGCCTGCGCAGCCCCTGCTCCTGCCCAGCAGCTGGAGCTGCCCCTGGTGCTCCTCCCTGGTGCCCCTCCCAGCCCCCCAGAGCCCTGATGCCCGGCCCCTTACGTATGAAATGGGGATGACAGAATGCACCCCCCACGGGCTGCAGGGGGCACACGGCATTCAGCTGCCACAGTTACCATCATTCTCACGCACACCACCTCGGTAAAGCGCTCAGCTGGTGCTTGGTCCCTAAAAGGGGATCGACAACGTGCGTCCTGGCCCCTCTTCCTGTCCAGCAGTGATGCTGGAGCAGCTCAGGCTGGGTGGGGAGCCCCGCCCGGTCCATCCGTTAGCCCTAGGCATAGGACACGTGCGGCCCCCGGGCTCTATCCAGAGCCCCACAGGAAAGGCCAACAGCCCAGGGCCTGGCCTCTGGGACGAAGGTGGGACCCACAGACACGTTGCATCCTCCAGCCTTCCCTTAGCCCCACCCCTCTCTCCTGCCCTCAGGCTCCTTGGTGGCTTCACACTGCTCTGGATGTCCTTCAGGTGCTGGGGTGCACAGAGCTCTTACTCTCCCAACATTGCGACCACACATATTCGTCTGGCCCTCCCAGAGCTGCCTCTGAGCCTGGCAGAGCTCCAGCACTCAGAGAGGAGTTTGCGAAGGACATGCAAGGTGTCGGGGCTGCCCAGAAGGGGCAAAGTCAGCGGGGAGCTGGATTCACTCTGTTGGCTGAAGGCAATGGCCTAGGAGGGCTCAAGAAGTCCTAGAGCCGGCACGACAGGTTCTGTTCTGTTCCAGCTGTGTGCCCTGGAACGTATGACTCGACATCTCTGAGCCTCAGTTTCCTTGTCCCCAAAATGAGGGTGGTTTCTCCTCGGCAGAGCCAGTATGAAGACCTGATGCATAACGCAGGAAAACGTTCAGCATGGTCTGGCAGTTCCTCAAGAAGTTAAACAGACAGTTACCATGTGACCCAGCAATTCCACTCCTAGTATACAGAGACATGAGAACATGTGCTCCAAAAGACACTTGTGTGCAAGAACCTTCACAGCAGTATTAATTCCTAAGAACCAAAAAGTGAAAACAAGTCAAGTGTCCATCAGCAGGTGAGTGGGTAAACAAGATGTGGTCTAGCCACACACTGGAATATTATTTGGCTATAAAAAGGAATGAAGCTCTGACACCTGCTACCACCTGGATGAACCTCGAAAACACAATGCTCAGCGAGAGAAGCCTGGGACAAAGGCCATGTACTGTAGGATTCCATTTATATGCAATACCCAGAACAGGCAAATCCATAGAGACGGAGAGTAGATTGGTGTTTGCCAGGGACTGGGAGGTTGAGTGGGGAGAGGTAATGGGGAGAGACTGCACAGAGGTTTTCCTTTGGGGTGACGAACATGTTCCGGAACTAGACAGAGGTAGTGATGATTGCCTGGCACTGTGAATGTATTAAGTGCCACTGACTTGTTCACTTAAAAAATGGTGCATTTCAGGGGCGCCTGGCTGGCTCAGTTGGAAGAGCATGTGACTCTTGATCTCAGGGTCATGAATTCAAGCCCCACATTGGGGGCACAGAGCACTTAAAAAAAAATAACCTTAAAAAATGGTTGATTTCATAGTGTGTGGATTTTACCTCAATTAAAAACAAACACAGCAGCATAATGCTTCCCACAGAATAAGCCCTCAAAATGCTCCAAAGGTGCTGACCACCCTAAGTTCGGCATGTAAAGAGGTGTTGGGGGAACGCATCCTCAGCGGGCAAGGGCAACGGCTCAGAAGGGAGTGTGTGGCGTCGGTCGAATCCCAAGGCTGTTGCCCACTCTGGCAGGATGGAGCCTGTGGCCTCCAGAGTGGAGAGATGAGCATGCTGCAAGGTTGGCGGGGGGGCCAGGGGCCTGGCAGGGGAAAGGGGACCCATGAAGGCTTCTAGGTTTTTAAAAGACCACTCTGGGGGCGCCTGGTGGCTCAGTCGTTAAGCATCTGCCTTCAGCTCAGGTCATGATCCCAGGGTCCTGGGATCGAGTCCCACATCGGGCTCCCTGTTCCGCGGGAAGCCTGCTTCTCCCTCTCCCACTCCCCCTGCTTGTGTTCCCGCTCTCGCTGTGTCTCTCAAATAAATAAAATCTTTAAAAAAAATAAAATAAAAATAAAGGACCACTCTGCAATATGAAGGGCAGCCTGGATGGGGGCAAGAGTGGGGGTAGGGAGGCAGGGTAGGAGGTCGCTCTGGCAGAGGGGGTGATGGACGCCTCTTGGCACACAGAAGGGTAAGCCGTTTGGGGGAGGTCCATAATGGACTGTTTCGGCCATGGGATGTGGAGCTGTGTGGGGAGTTCAAGGGACAAGTCTACCAGGGAGGCGGATCTGAGCTGGAGACAGGGTGCAAGGCCCCTGAACAGGTGTGGCATTGGAAGTTCCAGAGCACGGACGAGACCCTCAGGGTGAGTGGCGTGCAGAGACCAGAACTGTGGAGGGGACCAGCCGCTAGGCGAAGGCAGAGAAAGACTGGCAGGAAGCTGAGGGGCAAGGGGAGCTTCCAGGAGCAGCGCTGTCAAGCCCTGTGCAGATGTGTCAAGTCGCAGAAGGATAAGTACGCGTCGGGTTTGCCAGTGTGAGACCATCAATGACCTTGTAATATTTTCACTGGAGCGCTGGGGGCACAAGATGACAGTGGGCTGAGGGGTGAGTGAGAAGTGAGGACGCAGGAGTCAGAGAGGTGGTGAGAACCGCGCAGAGGGCCTGCTGGAGGGGGAGGTTGGGGCTGAGGGGAAGGAAGGAGGGAGATGAGGAAGGTTCCTGGGACCCGGGGCCTGGGGGCGTCCTGGGGGTTTGTGGCCTTGGTCATGGAGCCAGAGGAAGGAAAGGGGTTGTGTAGCTGCGTTTGTAAGCGTGGCGGGAAGAAACCACGGGGGAGCTGAGCCCACAGTGCCTGGAGTGTGGGAGTGCTGAATGGAACCGGAGGCATGAGGGACCCCAGTTTTGGAGGGGTCACTGAGGCTGAGTGGGCGGACAAGCGGGGCAGGCCAGAGCTGAAGAGGACTGAAAGGACCCAGACTAGGATTGCCATGTCTAGCAAATAAAACTATAGAACGCCCAGTTACATGTGAATTCCCCATAAGCAACGAGTGACTTTTTAGGATAAGTATATCTCATGGGACATACTTATACCAAAAAAAAAAAAATTTTTTTTTTTTTTTTGAATTATCGTTGCTTACCTGAAATTCAAATGTTAAGTGGGCGAGCGTCCTCCAACTTACGTGTGCATCCTAGCCAGGGGCGGGGGGTAGGAGACGGAGGAGAGGGGCTGGAGTGGACCCGCCTCGGGACCAAGCCTGGAAAATGGGTAGCCGTCTGAAGGGTGCGGGGCCCGAGTGGGGAGAAGGCTGCGGCCAGGCATCATGGAGGCCTCTACTGGCTCCTCCCGCCCCAGAACATTGGTTTCGCCCCACCACCACCGCGTAAGTCCCGTGGTGTCGCCTTAAGGGCCCATCGATAACTCTACGCTCGGCCGCGGCCTCTATCGATTCGCTCTGGCTCCGCTCGCCGTCCTGGGCCGCGGCGGAGCGCAGAGCCGCGTGTAAGGTACGGTGGCCGCGGGACGAGGGCCAGAAAGCGGCCTCTGAGTGGCCGGGAGAGCGCGCCTGGGGGAAGCTGGCCCAGCGGGACGGAGTCAGGGCTGTCGGCGGAGCACCGGGGAGCCGGAGGGTCCGGCCAGAGAGCGCCCCCTCCCATCAAGCTTAGCCGCCGGCCTGCTACGCATGCGCAGCCGCTGCAGTAGGCTCTCCTCTCCGGCCGTTCCGCGGCTCTGCGCATGCGCGGCCCGCCCCTGCGGCAGAGCGGCGCCCCGGGCGTGACTGCCCCCTGCCGGCTGCGGGTGGGGGGGGCGTCCCGGCCGGGTCCGTGGGGCTGGGAACGGAACACGCGCCTTGGAGCTCGGAGCTGTCTGCAGGTTGTCATGCGTCCCCTGAATCTCTAAGCCTCAGTTTCCACCTCTCTAAAATGGGAATGATAATGCCTATCTCTCAACACCGAGTGGGCCTAGAGGGTATTTCGTAAATACTGCACACTCCTCTCCTCTGCAGATGCTCTGACCTTTGACCCCTGCCTTTCAGAAGTCGCGTCCTGTGCAGGCCCGAGCCTTCTTCCACACCATGAACACGTCCCCCGGCACGGTGGGCAGTGACCCGGTGATCTTGGCCACTGCAGGCTACGACCACACAGTGCGGTTCTGGCAGGCGCACAGTGGGATCTGCACCCGCACGGTGCAGCATCAGGACTCTGTATCCTCCAGTGGGGAGGTGGGGAGGGCGGTACTGGGAAGGATGCTGGGTGGGTAACAGCCTGGGCAAAGGAATGGGTGCCTGGGCTGGAAAGGATGCAGCAGCCGAGCCAGATGGTGGGGGCCTCGAGTGCTCTGTTCATCCTCCTCCTTAACAGACCTAGCAGGTGAACGCACTGGAGATCACGCCTGACCGCAGCATGATCGCTGCTGCAGGTACCTGTACCCTCAACCCGACCCCTGATCTCTGGTGGGCCCGCCTGGGCACAGCCACCCTTCAGTTTAGCCTGTGCCCCTAGGTTACCAGCACATTCGCATGTATGATCTCAGCTCCAACAACCCCAACCCCATCATCAGCTATGACGGGGTCAACAAGAACATTGCGTCCGTGGGCTTCCATGAGGACGGCCGCTGGATGTACACGGGTGGGGAGGACTGCACGGCCCGGATCTGGGACCTCAGGTGTGCGGCACCGGGCAGGAGGGGCCTGTTGCCGGGTGTGTGGGGGTGGGGGGCCAGGCCAGGACTGTCTCAGGCCAGGGCCCTCCAAGCAGAGGCTGAGACAGGGTTTTCTGTGTGGGTGATTTATTGAGGGCGGTGACGAAAGCAGGATAGGGCAGGGGTGAAGCCACACACGGAGGAGCCCAGCCTCAGCCTGATACCACAGGGAGCTCTGGAGAGTGAATGGCATCAGAGTGAGTCCCACCCGGGGCGAGGGGCTGCCCCTGGGGGGGGCCGAATCTCCCTTGGGTCTGTTGTAAGGCTGCTGCTACCAGCAGGGGAAAGAGCGTCTGGGGGCGCCAGCAGCGTCCAGTAGAGCGTATGTGCCCACCCCAAAGGTCCCGGAACCTGCAGTGTCAGCGCATCTTCCAGGTGAACGCACCCATTAATTGTGTGTGCCTGCACCCCAACCAGGTGAGGCGCACTCACAGGGCCGGGCACTGTGGGGCTTTGGAGGGCAGGGAGCCCGCCCTCCCTCACCTCCCCTGCACCCCAGGCGGAGCTCATTGTGGGTGACCAGAGCGGCGCCATCCACATCTGGGACTTGAAAACTGACCACAACGAGCAGCTGATACCTGAGCCTGAGGTCTCCATCACGTCGGCCCACATTGACCCCGATGCCAGCTACATGGCGGCCGTCAACAGCACCGTGAGTCCGGGGTGTGAGTGCACCGGGGGAGGCCAGCTCAGCACCCGGTCCCTGATCTTCCTAATTCCCTGCACGTGGCTTTTCCCCAGATGCTCCTCCCCTCCCCACCCCGGGCCTGCTTCCTCATCCTGGGCTCCAGCTCCACCCCAGCCAGCAAAGCCAGAAAGCGGGGTGTTGCTCCTGACGCCCCCTCTCACTACTGCCATAGCTCAGCCAGCGAGCATCACTCCCACCTCCAGAACTTCTCAAGTGTCGTCTTCCTTCTCCTCCCTGGCTCCTCTGGGTCCAAGTTTGCCTCCTCTCCCCGCACGGCGGCTGTAGTCTCCCTGTGGCTGCCCTCCCTCCTCACCGACACCCTCCACCCCCACACCACACTCCCTCAGCTGCCAGCACAGACTTCTGCGGCGCCCGCCCGACCCCACCATTCCCTGCACAAACCCTGTGGTGCCCTGGCTCCTTGCCGTGGCCCCAGCACACTGCGGGGTGGCCCCACTCTCCCGCCCGGCCTCATTTTCTCCCCTTCGACGTCCCCTACCTCTCAAGGAATTGCTGGTCCCGTGGCGTCCCCACACTGCCCTCCGCTGGTCCCACTGACATGCCGTGCCCCCATCTTGTTCTGCATGCTCCCGCTGACCGGCAACTTTCTGCATGAAGGCCTCCTGCTCTCAGCCTGCCCGGTGCTCCCCGCAGCCCGGACCCGCTGTGCCTGTCACACGTCCCTGGCCCCCAGATCCCGGGGTGCAGCCCCGTGTGGGACGGCCGCCCCTGGATCCGGGTCTGGCCACCAGGGCCTTCTTCCCCACATGTCCGACTGAAGGCTCAGGTGTCCCATGACTCCCTTCCAATCTCAGGGGAATTGCTACGTCTGGAACCTGACGGGGGGCATTGGTGACGAGGTGACACAGCTTATCCCCAAGACCAAGATCCCAGCGCACACCCGCTATGCCTTGCAGTGCCGCTTCAGCCCTGACTCTACGTGCGTACGGGGCCGGGAGGCTGGAGCCCTTGCACGGCAAAGGGGTGCAGTGTGGGCGTGGCTGCTGACGGCACCCACACCGCACTCACGCCCACCCCTAGGCTTCTTGCCACCTGCTCGGCCGACCAGACGTGCAAGATTTGGAGGACATCCAACTTCTCCCTGATGACAGAGCTCAGCATCAAGAGCAGCAACCCGGGAGAGTCCTCCCGCGGCTGGATGTGGGGCTGTGCCTTCTCGGGAGACTCTCAGTACATCGTCACCGGTGAGCACCCCTACCCCCACCCCACACTGCCAGCCCGGTTCCTGCCGCAGCTGCCTGCACTCCTGCTGCCTGGGAACCAGCCTTCGGTGGGGCCTGGCCTGGGGCTGTGCCCTGAGCTGCTGCCTCCACCCCTCCCTGTAGCTTCCTCTGATAACCTGGCCCGGCTGTGGTGTGTGGAGACGGGAGAGATCAAGAGAGAGTATGGCGGCCACCAGAAAGCTGTCGTCTGCTTGGCCTTCAACGACAGCGTGCTGGGCTAGCCCGTGCCCCCCTGGGATTTCAGGTGGCTGTCCAAGGAGCACCTGCGGACTAGGTCTGCCCAGCTGCCCAGGTCAGAGTGAACCTCCACGGGCTAGCCTCTACCAGCCTGGCCAGCTGGAACTGCCTGGCCTACCCTGGCTCCCTCGGCCGGCTTAGACTGGCCAGGCTAGTATACCCTGGGATTCTCTCAGGTCCCAGTTGCTTATGTGGATGTGACGAGGCTCAGAAGCCTACTTGAACTAACCTTCACTTGTTCCAGAAATTCCAGATCCACAGGGCCTGGAGGTCCCAGGCTGGTGCCCAACCCCAAGCCAGTGCTCCCCTGCCCCACTCTGCCCATTTTATGTCCCGAGGTCACAGAGAACGCCGTTACGGCCAGGTGGAGGGTTTATTAGCTCCTGCCGGCAGCCACCCTCTGTGACTGGTGACGGGGCTGGCCTGGGGGACTGGCCAGGCTTTGAACTTAGTCTGGGAGGTAATAAAAGCAGACCAACATGCAGATGTTGCTGGGGAAGCAGATGTCGATGCATAGGTAGATCAGCCGCTGCCTCCGGGGCCCTGGGGGAAGGGGCCTCTGTGAACCCCAGAGGGCTCCTCCCCCTTCTCCCCAGACTGTTCTGCAGGAGCCCAGGCCTCATGACACCGCCCCGACTTACCCTGTGCTCGACGGGCCCAGTAAATGGGTGTGTTCGTGCAGAGGTGCCGCACGGAATCCCCCACCTGGGCAGGGTCCACCTCACGGCCCCCCTGCACTACCAGCAGCTCCTGGGCAGAGTGGGTGTCCTGGCTGGGGCCGGGAGGCCCTTGGCCCTGCACAGAAGGCTCTGGTGGGCCATGGCGCAGGGGCACTGGCACTGCCCGGATTGGGGCAGGGCCTGTGCATCCCTGGACGTCTGGCCCACTGCCAGCACCACCCCCTGCTCTTGTCAGCAGCCTCGGTCAAGGGAAGACAGGCCTTCTGTTCCTTGAAACCAGAGCTGCAGCCCGCCCCAGGCCTGGGCCATACACAGGGCCCTTTGTCTGTCCCCTGGCCTGGGGAGCCTGGCCGCATGGGGCTGCTTACCCTGGACATGTTCACCAGCAGCTGCAGGGTCTCGCGATCTCGGGGCTCCATCGGGCGGAGGAAGCAGGCCGGGTGTTCCAAGGGCCGGTAACAGACACAGCCCTGGGGAGGCAGGCAGGTGAGGCAGGGCCACGCCAACATCCTCGGATGCTGGCCACACCCCCAGCCCACTCACACTCTGCCCATCGAACAGCACTGCCCAGCTGCGGTTGCTCTGAGCCGAGGTCACCCAGATCGTTGCCACGTTCCGGGCCGCATCCACCTGAGCAGTTTGGTTGGATCGGGGTGCCCCGGGGCTTGGGAGGGTCAGACGGAGCATCTGCAGCAGAGGCTGAGATCGGGGAGCTAGAGCTTAGCTGGGCAGGCTGGGGCAGCCCCCGACCCCCCCCCAAGTTCTACTGCGAGGTTTCCGACCCCCCCACCCCTCTGGTCCTCCTACCACTGCTTTGAGCCCTGGCTTCGCTGGAGGGCTGGGAGGTGCTGGCCTTCCCTTCCCCTTCCCACTGTCTGTGGCCCTGGCCAGGTCCCCAGAGGAGCTCACCTTGGGGGGCCTGTGAGTGAAGCCAAGAAGCCCGCCAGCCACGGCCCCAGCAGCGGCCAGTGCCAGCAGCAGCAGGCCAGGGGCTCTGCAGCCCCCAGGGCCGGGCTTGGCCTTCACCTGGGGGCGCACTGCAGTCCGTGGGGCCTAAAGCAGAGACCAGGGAGCAGGCTGGCTCAGGAAGGCAGGGGCTGAGGTGTGCGAGGTGGGCCCTGCACTCCTGTCCCCTGCGCAGGCATGCCCTGGGTCTCTGTCCTGGGACGGGGCGCTGGGTGGTTGGAGGCACTCACCTGCACAGGCCCAGACCCGGGGCTGTCCTCGCAGCAGTGCCTCTGCTCCATGCTGCAGCCCTGGTGACAATGTGCGGATTGTCTGCCGCCCCTTGGAGTCAGCTAGGGTAACCTTAGTACACCTGTTATGAGCCAAAGAACCGTCCCAGCCCCCTCCTCTCCTGACCCCACTGCTTCCCACCAGCTGGCCACCTGATACCAGGGTCGGAGCCAGGACAGCCCCCCCTGCTTGGGGTGGGGGTTGCCTGTCACCGTGCCTGGCTCTCCCGACACCCAGCCTGTGCAGACCAGGGAGTGTGGGGGCCCGAAAGGGTGAAGAGCATGGCTGTCAAGGAAATCAAGTCCCACGGATTGGCACAGAGGGCAGCCCAGGCCCCGGGCAGGACGACTTTAGAGAGTCTGTTTGGGGACAGACTTCATTTTCCTCAAGAGGCTGTTCCAGTGTTTTGAGCTATTCCTGGAGTCCCAGAGCTCAGCCCCTGGCAGCCCATCAATAAATGCGTTTCCTGGGTGCCTGGGTGGCTCAGTTGGTTAAGCGACTGCCTTCGGCTCAGGTCATGATCCTGGAGTCCCAGGATCGAGTCCCGCATCGGGCTCCCTGCTCGGCGGGGAGTCTGCTTCTCCCTCTGACTCTCCCCCCTCTCATGTGCTCTCTCTCAAATAAAATCTTTAAAAAAAAAAAATAAATGTGTTTCCTGAATGACTGGCATGGGAGTGCATGCTGCCTTTGTCCTTCCATCCCCTGTACCCCCAGCCACTTGCCAGCCCCTCAGACGGGACGGGCTGATGGGCAGTCTGCAGCACGCGGGACTGAGAGCAGGACAGCTTCCTGGCAGCTGACTGGAATGTCCACACGCCCTGGGACAGCCAGTCAGGTCAGCTCGCCCCTCCCCTGCCCAGGATGGCCTCCTCTGCTCCTAGCTTGCACCTCCGACTTCTTGATGCTGTGGATTTTGTCAGGGCTCCCTCTGGCACTGGCAGCTCGCAGGACGTGCATGTTCTGCACGCCCTTCACCCTGTGGCCCTCTCCTGTTCTTGCTCTCCTTTGTTGCCGCTGTCTTACTGGTTCTTCGGAACCCAGCCCTCTGTGTAATGGGCCTGGGATGCAGTGGCATCGTGGTGGTCAGCATGCCAGCTCTGGAATGAATCCCAGAACGCCGCCTTCTCAGATGCACTCCCGACCCCATGCTAGGCAGCTGTAGCATCTGAGCAAAGGCTGCTATCAAAACAGGGGCAAAGAATGCCAGAGTCAGCGCAGATTTGAGACTTTAATATGCATTTCGGTTCACACAGTGCAATGGGGGGCAGAGATGGGCTGCACGTGGCCTCCCAGGTTGCTGCCTGGCAGGAGGGGTGTTGCTGCTTGCCGCACCTGCTGCGTGCTCCTGGTGTGGGTGACAACGCCCTGACAGGCCTGCTCAATATCCAGACCCACCTTGAGCCGACCTCGCAGAGCCAACGTCAGCACCACCAACCTCACAGGCGCTGGCTGCCCTCGCGTTGCCCCACAGCAGAGTCCAAACCCCAGACACCCCGGGCCTCGGAAGAGCTGCGGGTTCAGACACCGTTTATTGCTATGAGAACTTTGAGAAGGGAAGGAATCACCCCGGGGCTAGGAGAGAAGCTCGCGGGCAAATGCCACTGGGTACAGAGTGAGGCGCTGGGAAGGAGTCTGCCAAAAGGAACAGCTTCCCAGGCCCTACCCTACAGGTGCGGCTGGATGGTCTGCTTATCAGGTCAGCAACTTACGAAACAGGGAGAAATGGCCGGGACGCTCTGCCAAGAGCCCTCGGCTAGCAGGTGGACCCTGCCAGTTTTCCCACTGGCCTCCGACAAGGAACTCCAGACCCAAAGGAAGTGGCCTCAAGGGCCACTGGCATCTAACTCCCACCCCAACTGAGGGTACGGGAGAAAACAGGAAGAGACTGGATGTTTTGTAAAAGGATTTCCTGTTCTTGGGGACACCTCTTTCCTCCCCCACCCAGAGGGCGCCCAGGGCAACAGGCACTCCTTGGCCAGCACATGCCTTTAGCCGTGCTGCTGGCTGCGGGGCACGCAGACTTCTTCGGTGGGATTTTCCCTACGAGACAGAGCACAGCTATTAATTAACACACTTAAGATTCAATTCCACCGTTTGACAAAGTTGTTCAAAAGTTTAAAAAAATAATTTTTGGTACCGACACTACTCTGAGCTCTCTGCATAGCTGCCCAGAGTTCAGCAAAGGCATCCACACCCTCTTGGCCGCTCAGCTAAGAATATGCTCAGTCCAAATCAGCTGGATTTAAATGCACATTTGAGAAAGCTGAGGCTTAGCCGGACTGAGTTTACAGAACTCCGTGACCACGTATGAGGTGTGGCAGCCCAGGGTATCTGAAACGGAACAGACACTTGATTGTGACATCAAAGTGGTTTTTAAGTAAGTGGGGGGTGGTGGTGGTGAGGTCAGCACCCTGCACCCCAAGGACAGGGAGACAGCACTTGGGAGCAGCTCTGTCCTCCACTCCCACCCTGCAGGTGAGGGGCTGGGATGCTACAGCAGGCTCATCTGCAGATGACCACACCAACGGGCCCTGGGTCTGTTTGTACAAGTTTCTCACAACAGTCAAAATCATCAGACCGTCCTCCCCTTTGGCCTGTAAGGGGGGCCCGATCCCTGAATGAAATCTTCAATAAAACATCTAACATCCCTAGACCTGCCTCGGTCCCATCAGCAGGCTGGGTAACCACCCTGAGGTTACCTGAATCCTGGACAGATGCTAAGCCTGTTCTTGTCAATGGCATCCAATGCCCAGGACCCCCACAATGCCCTCCAGGTTCAAAAGTGCATCTTCAAATAGAAGCATCTGTAAACAATATCACCCCCCAAACGTTTACTTACAAGGTTAACATCTAGTGCCTTTACTTGACTCCACACATACTCTTTGAAGCCACCTAGCTGAGCAGATGCTTAAACCCCACCTATTAATTTGGGTAAGTGGTTTTCAATTCATTTTATTCTGGAGATTAAAGACACTAAATCTTTAACCTTGAAGAGCAGGCAAAAGGTCAGCTATGCTGTCAACATAGAAGTCAGGGACCATTTTCTTCTTAGACATGCAGTCACTTTCCTGATTACTCTTCACATCCCCTAGAGTGGAAACGCCGGTGAGCGTCAGGATGGTCTTCAGGCCACAGGTGACGCCCAGGAGGATGTCCGTGTCCAGGCGGTCTCCCACCATGACGGTGCGCTCTGGGTTGATGCCGTACTCCTGGGACACGCAGTCGAATATGAAGCGGCTGGGCTTCCCTATGATGTCGGCCTGGCGCTGGGTGGCCATCTCCACGGCTCGGACCAGACAGCCGGTACCTGCGGGGCGGAGAGATAGGGGAGGGAGGGAGGGGGGGAGAGCACCCGGGGTCAGAGGACAGGAGGGGCCCGCGGCCCGCCCCCACCCCCGCGTCCCCGGGCCGCACGGACCCGCGATGAAGCGGCCGTTCTCGAGCGGGAGCCGGTTGTCCATGTTGGTGCCCACGAGCAAGCAGCCGGGCTGCTGTAGATAGCGCACCGCCTTGGTGAGCTTCATGTAGCTGAAGTGTGGGTCAAAGCCCACTACGACGGCGCGCACGTCTGGATCAAGCGGCGCGTCCAGCCAGGCGCCGGGGCTGTCACCCAGCAGCGGCTCGGGCCCCACGCCCACGCTGGCGACGCCCACGGCCTCCAGCTCGGTGGCCAGGGCTTCGCTGCCCAGCACGTAGGCCTTGGGGGCCGGTGCGCCCGCCAGGCGCTGGCGTAGGTAGAGCGCGGTGCAGTAGGCCGTGCCGAAGACCTCGAGGCCGGCGCCGGGCCCCGGGGGGCCGCCGAAGCCCAGGCGCCGCAGCTTCTCGGCGTAGGCCTCGCGGGTCTTGCTGCTGTTGTTGGTGATGAAGCCGAGGCGCTTGCCGCGGGCCCGCAGCGCCGACAGGGCCTCGGGCGCGCCGGGCACGGCCGTCTCGCCGCGCCACAGCACGCCGTCGCAGTCGAACAGCAGCGTGTCCACGTCGGCCAGCAGCGCCTGGGCCCGCTCGGCGCTCAGCCGCACGCAGCGGGCGTCGTCACCGCCGGCCTCCGCCGCCGCCATGGCCGCCGCCGCCGCCACCGGCCGCCGCCGCCGCCGCCGCCGCCACCGGCCGCTCCTTGCAGCCGCCCGCCGCCGCGCCCGCACCGCCCCCGGCGCGCTCATTGGCTCCGCTCCTCGCGCGCGCCGCCCATTGGACGCCGCCTGCGCCAATCCGCCCCCGCCTCCCGCGGGCTGCGGGAGCTCAGCGCCAACCGTCGCGGCCCAGCGCGGGGAGGGGGGCGACCATTGGCTGCCGGGCCTGGGGCACCCCGGTGATTGGCTGGCAGGGAGCCAACCGGCATTCGGAGTGGAGCGTTCACTGCGGAAACGCTGCGAAGGAGCCCAGAGCCGGCGCAGAACGTAAGGCTGCTGCTCATTGGCGGCGTCAGGGCGGCTCGCCCATTGGTGGTGCGTGGTCAGCTTAGGTGACGGAGGCCCTTAATGCAGGGACCCCGGGCCGGGCCGGCTGCGGATTGGCTGGCTTCTCCGCGGCGGGGAGCGCGGCAGGACGTGGGGGTAGGCGGGGTGGGGAGCCGCTGTCGCCCTGGGGCCGGAGTCACGTCCGCACCTCTGCCTGGGCGGCGCCGGGCCGTGTCCGCCGCCCTGGACACGCGGCGGACACGGCGCTAGCGCGTGACCGAGTAAGGCCGGTGCTGAGTGCCCGCCCGGGGCTCCTTCCCGGCAAGCCTCGCGTTCCCAGTTCCAGCCCTTTGCAGAGACCCTGTTCCCGGTGCCTTAGTAATGACCAGGCGGTGGCACTGCCTTGGTGGTCACGTGGACCCGTAATTATAAGGCGATGGGAATCGCCTCAGTGGTCGCGTGAACAGGTAATTACAGGCGGTGGGAGCGCCTTCGTGGTCACGTGAACAGGTAATTACAGGCGGCGGGATTAGGGTCTAAGGAGACGCAGCGTAGAACCCAGCTCTTACCGTCATCATTATTAGGTATCACGGTTAACTTTTATTGAGGCGTAACACGCAGAAAAGTGCGTAAGTCTTTAGTGTGCAGCTTGATGGAATTTTTACATACCCGTACCCCTGTGTAAACAACCCAGGTCAAGCTGGAGAATCTTTCCGTCGCTCCAGAAAGTTCCCTCACAATCCTCCTCCAGGCACTAGCGACCCCCCTCCCCCAGCCACGTCTCTGACTCCTGTCACCATAGAGTGAGTCGCAGACGCCTCTGCCGGTCCAGATGGTCTCGCCAACGGGATCGAACAACCATGGGTCTTGCTTCTGCGGATCAACATAACGTCTGTGAAATCCATCCTTCTGCGTGTGTGTGTGTGTTTTCATTGTCATGTGGGCGGTTGTAAGAATACACCTCTCTGTGTCTGTTTTCCAGTCGAGGGACAGTGTGTTGTTTCCAGTTTGGGAGCATTGTCAATAATTCAGGGTGTCAAACCCCTGCCCTTCTCTTGGGCCCCAGGTCTCCATAAAGTCTGCTCGGCCCCACCCCCACCCCCATGAGGTAAAGTCAGTGACCTTAGCGCCCTGATTATTTACGCACAGCTTGTTTCTGTTGGTCTCTGCTGGCCCAGGGAACTCCTGGAGGACGTTGGAAGGGCCATGGCCCACAAGGGCAGGGCATGCAGATTGTTCCTGCCTGATGTACTCACTACCCACAAGGGGAACCTTCCTCCCTGTGTCTTCCCACTTCGTTGTGGTGGTGGAGCTGACTCTGGGAAGAACTAGATTTGACAGAAGATCACAAACTCTTTTTCAACCACCCAGAAGCATCCAGTGTATACGGTACACTGGCCAGAGTGGGAAGGGTGGCTGCTGCCCAACCATGGGCCAGCTCGTCCGATACCTGCCCAGGTGCTTTGGCTTCCTGGGCACTCAGTAAGCATCTAGGCACCAAGCACTGCTCCTTACCTGCATTACTTTGTCTGAATGCCCTAAGAGGCAGGGACTGTTAGTGTCCCCATTCATGGATGAGGAGACTGAGCCACAGAGAGTCACTAGCTGGACAATGCAGAGTTGGGATTAAACTCAGGTGACTCCAAAGTGGAGCTCTGCCACACCTGTTTGCCTTAACATCCCCTGTGAGTTGTAGGGACTGAGCCGGCATCGTGGGAAGGGTGGAACGGTCTGTAACAAGAGAGGAGGTGGTTATGGACAAGGTCCTGCCAGCAGCTGGAAGGGACGGTGCACTTGGTACACTTAGTGGGGGCAGTGGGTCGGGGGGAGGATGACCTTGTGTGAGGTGCCCTGTGTCTGGATGGGAGAGGCGCCCCACACGGATCATGAAGTGTTCCCAACACATAGTAGATGCTCAGTGTCTACCTGTGAATAGTTGGCGCCAGCGTTCCCCCAAGTGAGGAAGCCCTGCCTGCAAGCTGACTGGGGCATAGATGGAGATGGCACAAGGACAGACACTATTTAATTAAAATAGCCTTGCAAGGATTTAAATTGTATTAGAAAATGCAAGTAGCAATTGAATCTGTTTTCACAGATGGTTTTGCTTCTAATGAGCCAAGTAAAAATGGGAGTCATTGAAAAAGGATTCAAGTGGCAAAAAAAAAAAAAAAAAGAATTGGAAACAATCTAAATATTCTCCAACATGGGACTGGTTAAATAAAGTACATCCAAAGAACGGAGATTGAGCAGTCCTCATAAAGGGCTGGAGCTTCTATGGCTCTGGCCACGGCAAGTCGACACAGCATTGAATATCAAACAGTGTGCGGCTGGAGCCCATGTTGAGGACTGGGTGGGACAGAAGGAGGCCATCTGGGGTAAGGGGGACTCTGGTTTTCCTGTCTTCCTCTGGCCACTCTTCTTTCAGGGACCTCAAGCCTGTGCACGCTGGTGCTCCCTGGCCTGCCTGGGCTCTAGCTGAAGCAGGACCCAGAACCCACTGGATCAGGATGCCCTTTTCTCTTTTTTTTAAAACGGATTTTTATTTATTTCACAGAGAGCGAGCACAAACAAGGTGAACAGGAGAGGGAGAAGCAGGCTTCCCGCTGAGCAGGGAGCCCAATGTGGGGCTCAATCCCAGAACCCTGGGATCATGACCTGAGCTGAAGGCAGACGCTTAACCCACTGAGCTGCCCAGGTGTCCCCAGGATGCCCTTTTCTGACTCCCAGGGAGCCATGAGGCAGGAGCCTTGGCCTGCCCCTGACATGGCTCTGGAGCACACAGCAGGGCAGGCTCTTGGTCTCCCCTGGGCTGGCTCCTTCTCCTCATGTTCACCCACACTCAGGCTGTCCTCTCTGCCTTTGAGACCTTTCCTTACCCCATTCTCCTGGGGGCTTCCTCTATCTCTCTGACGCTGGCTTCCCTATTACTCCTCAGCACAACCTTAAGTGAAGTGTCGTCCTGGTCCTCCCTTCCCAGGGCCCCCTCCACATGCCCCCACCTGTTCTTCCTCTTGTTTGTCCCTCTCAGAGACCATCCATCTGGGATCTCCCTGCTTCTGTGGTCCTTTCTCTGCATAGTAGTCAGAGGGACCCTTTTCAAACGATGTCACTCCATCTGCTTAAACTCCTGTGATGGTGAGCAAGCCTCCTGCAGGAAGCAGCCTCATCGTTACCCCAGCCCGACCTCCAATGATCTGACCTGAGCTTCACACATTCCTGCTCCTGCCAGGCCAAGGGTCCTCGGGGCCCCAGCTGGGTACCCCCGGCATGGAGACACTCTCTGCTTGGTGTCCTTCCCAGGGCAGAGCTGCCCACTCTCTGCCTGGGCCCTTGTGTCTCCACCTGGTCTTCCCTAGAGATTAGCCTTCCTGGAGGAGACCCGTTCTGATTCATCTGAGTCTCTGGCATCCAACGCTGGCCTGGATCACAAAAAATAACTGAGCTGGGAGAGCACACCCTGTGGGTTTCCAGCCCATGGCTCTGGACTGACTTTGAGTCTCCAGTCAGCCCTCGGGACAAGCATCCTATCAGTTCTTCATCTTCAAATGGGTATGACTGATACCTTAGATGAAAAAATCCTGTACAGTGCTCAGCTTCAAAGAGCTAACTAAATACTGTCTTAGAAAGAATAAAAGGAACTTGTCTGCATGTGTTCATGGCAGCATTATTCATAATAAGTAGAAAAGGTGGGAACAACCAAACGCGACGGATCAATCAATTGTGGTCTATCCAGATAATGGATTTTTCAGCTATAAAAAGAAATGAAGTATGGTCACATGCTACAACATAGATGAATCTGGAAAACATTATGCTAAGCAAAACAAGCCAGAGGAAAGCCCACGTATGTAATTCCACTTATATGAGAATGTGCAGAAAAGGCAAAGCCACACAGAAACTGGTTGCCAGAGGCTGGGAGTAGGGGAGAATGGGAGTGACTGCTAAGGGGACAGGTTTCCTTTCCTTTCCGGACAAGGTTCCGGAACTAGATGGTGGTGATGCTCCTACAACACTGTGAATACGCTAAATGTCACTAGTGGTGAGTCTTATGTTATTTATTACAATTTAAAAGATATGCATTAGTGTAAAAGGGGTAGTGAAGCTAACCGAGAGCCAGCCCCAATTCGGGGTCTTCCTTGGGACCCGGCAACCAGCAAGGGAGGTTCTGACCCGAGGCGGTGGGGCCGCGGCGGTGAGCACCACACTACTTGTCGGAGCCGGGGCCGTGCCCAGCGAGCCGCTCGCCTGCCTCGACCGTCCGGCGGCTCTCTCTGGCCTGAAGCCGCTCGGGGAACCCAGCCCTCCGCTCCTCCCGCGTGGCCACGACCCTGCCGCACCAAGCCGCGCCCTGAGGGCCCGCCTCTGACCCCGCCCCTCCGCCTGTCTGTCCGCTCCGCCGTCCCACGCCCCCGAGCAGCCCCGCCCCGTGCCTTCTCTCCAGGAGTCTGGCCCCGCCTCTGCGGTTCCAGGCCCCTCCTCCCAGACTCCGCCCCGCCGCCTGTCTGTCAAACCCACCTGGCCCCGCCCCGTCGTCCTCCTCTCGTCGTTCTCTCTGGCTCGCCTCAGCGCGGCCCGTTGTTATGACGACACGGTCGTAAATCCGCCATCTTCCTGCGGCGCGTTGCGACATGGAGGGCGCGATGGCAGTGCGGGTGACGGCCGCGCATACGGCAGAAGCCCGGGCCGAAGCCGGGCGGGAGGCGGGCGAGGGCGGGGTCGCGGCGGCGGCGGCGGCGGCGG